TAAACTTAAATACATGCTCTGATAGGCTGGTATCGGCCAGTATCGGTATCGGATCAGGAGTCCAAAAACAATATCGGTATCGGATCGGAAGTGCAAAAACCTGGATCGGGACATCTCTATTACTGGGAATCATTTTGCAGTGAGGTTTTATATTGTACAAAAACCGATAGAATGAGTTTTTTTTAATGAAATCTTGAAATGATTTTAAAATCCAGGTTTAGGACACAAAGCAAAGACAGAGTGGAGGGACGTCTGGAAGCAGCAGGTCTTATTAGAGGGAGTGGAGCAGAAAAATGAGCTGGGTGTCAGCTGAGAATTCATCAGAGACCAAAAGCAAAAAACACTCTTCCACTTGGCTGGACAGAAGAGATTATTTTACTCCTTCCATCCAACAGTTATACAGAAGGCAAGCTAGTACAGACGTTTTGGTCAATTAAAAGCAATAACATGAGTCCATTAGAGTGCAGTAGAAATTTGTTTTGGAATAATATACAATGAACACTTTGCTACTTTTGTTAGTCACTTTCCTTACGTCACCCGGTCTTGTATTGTTTCAGAGAGGCCTGGAGGGAGCCCAGTAGCTGCCCATCAATCCATCTATCCAGCCAGCCAGCCGGCAGCGATGCAGGGGCTGATCTGGAGCCTGTGTGCCTTGCTCTGCCTCTCTCTGTGGGAGGAAATTTACTGCAGGAGCTCAAGGGAGGTGAGGGGAACCAGAGAGCTCTCCCTCCAGAGGAGTAAGAGGGCTGCTCATGATCCGGAGAAGAAGTGCTCCTATACTTTCCTGGTTCCGGAGCAGAGAATCACAGGTAAAAATGCTGCCACTGGGAAGGACACCCTCACCAGCAGTTTTTACTTCCAACAACTTCTTGCCTCTCTTCTAAAAATGATTAATTTCCTCCTCTTAGGTCCAATCTGTGCCAGCACCACGGGCCCCGAGCCGGACAAAGACAGAGTGACCCGTATGGACATCTCAGATGTCCGGGAGGTTCTCAACAAACAGCGGCGTGAGATTGAGACGCTTCAGCTGGTGGTGGAGGTAGATGGTAACTTGGTGAACGAGATGAAGCTTCTGCGCAAAGAGAGCAGGAACATGAACTCCAGGGTGACCCAGCTCTACATGCAGCTGCTGCATGAGATCATCAGAAAGAGGGACAACTCCTTAGAGCTGGCCCAGCTGGAGAACCGCGTCCTGAACGTGACCTCGGAGATGATGCGACTGGCTTCGCGGTACAAGGAGCTGGAGGCCCGGTTTGCCACAATGGCCGGGGTGGTCAACAACCAGTCCGTTCTCATCGCCGCACTGGAGGAGCAGTGCATGAGGACGCTGGGACGGAGCGAACTGCCCCAAGTGCCTCCGTTGGTGCAGGTTGTGCCGCAGAACATACCCGTCGATAACCGCTTTACCAACGAAATCGTGAGGAACAATCGGAACTTCCTCAGAGACTCGCGGATGGACGCCCCCACCGCTAGCCCCTTTGGGATGGAACCTCCACCACCCCAGGGCACGATCACCTCCGACGGTATGCATCACCTCATTACTCCCCAAGCACCCAGCAACCTAATGAATTTCAGCCGACATCTTCTATCCTTATTTAACCTCTTAAGCAAAATTAGCAAAGAAAACAATGAAAATGTCTTTTCTGGCATCAGTCGGTGGTGCTGTGGCACAGTTGGCTCTCCCTTGGCGTGCTACAGAGGCTGTGAAATCATGCATTCCTCTGTTCCCACTTGGCTGTCTGCACTGACTACACTGCCCTCAACATATGTAGTGCATTAGTAGGACGGGGATTAGGTCTCTTTGAGCAGCTTTGGGAGAGACTTCAGGGTATCAAACTACTTAGGTTTGGAGTTAAAATGCATGCTATATGGAAGGCTTGCTAAGGCAAAAGAATATGCACCAATCTGATGGATGATTTAAAATCCATCCGTGCACATGTTTAGTGCACTAGTGCTCATTTTCCACAGACAGTCTTCATACCGACACCTTCAACAGCTCATCTATGAGATTCAATCAATTTTTCAGCTTTTGAATTTCAGTTGCAGGGAATTCCTAAAACTGGGTTCAGGTTCAGGGAGTTTTATTTTGACTGGCAATGGGAGAATGCCGAGGAATGCTTAGCGTTATGCAACCCAAAAGTGAAATGGATGAAATCATTCATAAGATCCATGATGCAGATGGAACAAAAAAAGAAAAAAAGACTCCTTTTTGGCTAAAGGGTCAAAATCTAAAGGGGTGAAATAAGATTTTATGATCCGGTTTATTGACATTATTAGGGCTGTCATGCTTACTTTAGCCCAACTGATACTTTAAAGTAAAACACAGGTGTTCATTTTAACTCCGGTTGGAAAACAAATGGATAGATTAGGAGCTGCAGGTATTGCTAAGAGACACAATATGAAGAATAATCTAGAAGTTCTTTTTGGGATTAGAGAAAATAAAACTAAATGCATGGACCAGGACTAAATCGATTACTAATTTTAATAACAACCATTTTACAGTAATAAAGGTTCTTCTTGTTATCTTTAATGCTTTTAAATAAAATCAAGTTAAAACCAAGAATCAAAAATTTCCCAGTGTTAAAGGCAGGGTCTCGAATTTAGTAAGAAAGGGATGCTTCAACAACTCAACGCTGTTATCCATAGTGATCTGGTTTGCCAATTTATGGTATGATCCGCAGCTTTTTTCCTACGATTTGAACAATGCAGCTTATAAGAAGATGCAGCTTTTCTCTGGATTTTAGTGGAAGCCAAAGTTGGAAATAAAAGAATAAGGGGCTAATTTTCCGTTAGCACAAGAACATGCTAGCAGCAGGAAGTTGGAGAACAAATGTCTCTAATTCACACATTTTGACATTTATTTGCAGCGTTAAAGCTGCCGAACCAATAAAGAGACTGAGCTCAACTCCTGCAGAGCTGAAATAAAGAGCTGAAGAAGCTCCACCTTGCAGTAGAAGCTCTAACTGCTGCTAGCCGGAGCTAGCATTCTTCTTCCACCATAGTGTCACTAACTGATCCGTCCCAGAAACACGATCCGTACCCTCAGCTCATTTGCACATTTGCAACCAGATATACATCAGGGTGTCTTATTTCTATCCTTAACTCACTGAAGAATACTGATACACATCTTTAAAAAAGGTTTTATGACGTTTTCTGAGAAAACTTTGTTGCTTTTTAAACCACTTCTCTGACATCATGGGACATGCTCGGAGCAGTCGGGCAAAATATAATTAAACCATGTTTATCTGCGAATTAGTCGTTTCTTTCTTTATATTACGCACCATATACCACAATGTTAATGCGAAAGGAAAACATTAAACTCTAGAAGAGCGAGTAAAAGACTAGATTTTTATGTTTAAATCCAAAGCTGATAAAACAGAAAAGATTTAAAATAATTTATTTTCTCAGGAAATGCAATGTTAACCTTTGACACATTATAGTTTAGTACACTTACTATTTTTAAGGAGGGAAAACCGTAATTGAGATCTTTTTTTACAAAATAAAATCAAGGGCGACCTGGACGAATGGTTGTGCAAATGAGCTGATGGTACGGATCATGCTTCTGGTAACTTGTTTATTACTTTATAACTTTTTGGACATTATTATTGTCCAAGGGTGTCTGCTTATACTCAGCCAGTATGCCAAAATATGAGGCACTTTTTTATTTTTTGATGATCTCCTTCAGTTTCCTTTTTTCCTTTGTGAACGGTGAAGGAATTTGAAGGAAGTTTGATGGATACTTTGTCATAGATTCTTCACTAAACGGTCATTCTCTTCTTTTCAAAAGAGGTGGCTTTTCATCACCTCTCAGTGATCTTTAGCAGCGATAATGACAGGTAGAGGAAAAAAAAAAATTATAATGACAGATAGAGAGAAAAAAAAAAGACAGGTAGAGGAGGTTGTTTTTAAAAGCCTCAAAGGAGGGAGAGCTGGAGCTGGAAACTTTTTTTCTAAGACGTAAAAAATGGCAGTTTTACTTTGACGATATTTGAATGAATCCCAACAGAAAGAGACAGCAATAAAAATGTGAGGGTAGAAGCAGCATTTTTTCCATTTCACTATTTATGTTTAGCCTCCCACTTTAAGCAGACGGTGACACATGGAGCAGCCACTGCTTTTAAACGGCTTGTCTTCCATGCATGTTCGGTGCTGCTGTAATTACACCCTGCTGGACCACAGTTTGGTCTAGATGAACACGTTTTGAGTCAGCATGTACTGCTCCGTTTATTTTCAAGCTAAGCCTGAGGGAACCTGGTGAGGTTTGAAGAAGACACCGCCGGACTAAATGAAGCCTGTGGTTTTAGGTTTTAGATTTCTGTCCAGAGGCGTTAAACTGGGTCCCTTCCGTTCACACAAAGCCTGTGTAATAAGTATTCCCACCAGGAGGAAACTGAGGAAATATGCTGGCACCAGTTCAGCTGATTAATTTTGAGTAAAGCTCTTTAATAGTCAATCTATTCCCAGATGAATACCCTATAAAATGTAACCATGCAGCTGCATAAAAAAGAGACCTTTAGGTAGAATTATTTGTTGTTGTTTTTTTATGACTTTACTAAAAGCCGATCCTTCAAGTAATCACTTTAAAAGCATAAGGGCCAATTTAGTAAACTTTAAATGAATAAAAAGGTTAAAGAACATATTTTTTTCAGTGATTGCTTAGCGGCAGCCTGGAGCTTGGATCTGGAAAAGAATCCCGAGTAGAGTGCATTGTTAGGCCCCGTCCACACCAAGTCAAAACGAACACGAAACGCTAATATTTTCCAGAACGTTTGTCGTAAAGACGGAGA